AAATTTGACAAATAATTAGATTTTCTTAAACTTTTAATATAAATATCTAGATATTTTCATTTAGAATTTTGACTTCTAGTAGAATGAGGTAAATTTGAAATATTTGTAATATTAATTTTAAACTTTCATAGTATATAAAATTATGATTTGAGTAATATTATATAATTATAATCCATTTAAATTAGAATTGGACTAGACATCTATTAGGTTTAAAGTCCTATAGTCTATTATTAGAAATTAAACAAGATCTAATTCTAATACTGCTTATATGATATAAAACTATTAAAAATATCTGCAATTTAATTTTGTTATTATTTAAATTTTTCAAAGAATCAACAAATAATAATGAGTGAAAATTATATAAGCAACTAACATCTTAGAAAATGCTAGTATTTTTATTTTACTTTTATGATATTTTGAAATATGTAATATGATTAAGTAAATTTTTACAAAAAAGAAATTTAAAATTTTCCAATATAAATTCTATGATACAAGCTACAATTATTATCATATTCAATATTATTTTAGTATTATATAATATTTATTTAATAAACTATATAATACTTCTTTTGTAATATCTTTAATATACTCTACAGATGTTTTATTTTTTTGCATTTTCTTTCTCTTTCTTATAGTTCCATTCAAATAAATTAGCTATTTGTATATATGCATTTAAATCTTAAAAAAACATTTATAACTAACTGTTTTATAGTTATAATAAAGAATATAACCTTCAAATACTCTAAAAAATAAGCTTTTTAACAAGGTAAAGAAACAGTTTGTTTACCTAATTGAAAAAAAATGATCTTTTAGTTTACCTTGAATAATATGAACAAGTTGACTTTAAACTTATTATTACTTCTGTAAGTAATATATATAATCCTTCATGTTATGTATTATATTTTGAATAAAAGCCTTATGTGTTAATCTAGATTTACTTTTGTATGAAGTCTTACAAATTTTACATTCATATAAAGCAGAAGCAAACAATGAAAGTGATAGTAAGAGTAGTAAGAGTAAAATTTGTCAGATAGAAGTTTTGAGAAAAGTAATTGACAAAGGTATACATAATTTGTAAAATAAATTAAAAAAATTTGTGAAAAGTAACGCAAAAACTTTTAGCAATTTTGAAGTTTTTATTTATCAAAAGCACTTAGTTAAAAATTGAAATGATTGATTTAGTATTTAAACGATCTATTAGATATTAGAATATGTTAGAACATATTAGAATAATTGGTAAATCATAAAAAAAATAAAAAAAAATTTGTTATATATTATCAGAAGCCTTAAAAAAAGTCTAATTATGATAGTATACCTATATATATTATATTAGTTTGCAATGATACAAGATAAATTATTATATTAAATTATACTCTTTGATTATCTAGAACTATTTATTGGACTAAGAATAAGTCTATAATGAAATTGGAAATTATGATTATATTAGGAACTATTATGATATAACCAGTTTTATTTAGAATATTAGTTCTTATAGTAGTATTAAAACCTATTGAGAGTTTCAGAAAACATCTTTAATTAGAATTGTCACTTGATAAGCAAAAAGATTCAAGATTATGCAAGCAGTAGCATTAGTAGTACCATATAATAAAGTGTCAAAATTTTACTATAATAGAGCCAAAATTATAATTTATTATAAAAAAAAAATAACAGTAGATAAATCTTATTTATAGTTCTAAAAGATACTCTTGATAGATTTGGATTTATTGATGCTGTAAATCCTGGTAGTACAATATATCTTATTGATACCATTAGTGATATATTTTAATATATTCATAATATAGCCTATATTAAAAAAAAACTCTTAGAGATGAAACTATATAAAAAAATAAGCTAGATATACCAACATTGATTGATGAACTTTTTCTTGATAGCTCCTAATAGCACCAAGTTTGATGTTAAGTATATCTCAAATATATTATTAATATATTTACATCTTATATTTTGCATTCAAATCATCAAAGCTTTAACAGTTAACTATCTCAATGATAATTCTTGTATGAGGTAACTTCTATGTAAAAGTAATAGGAAAGTGATTCAAACAAATAATATATAAACTAAAAAAACTAAAAATACATTTGTATCACTAGATAGAGGATCTGAATGTAGAATACTAGATTGTAAAACATGAGCAGAAGTAGGATATACTATGACAGTTGGTGCTATTTTTTTCCTTGACTGGTAAAGTAGTCTATAAAAAATATATGAATTGATATTATAAGTCAAAGTTCAAACATATTAAAAGAAAACTTTTTACATGATTGAGAAAAAACTTTTATTGGAGGATAAAGTAATACACCATTATTTAGAAGATCAAAGTATCTCATTAATAAAGCCATAATAGTTTCATAATCTGCATTGCCATTTCAATAATATATACATTTTCATTTTTCTAATAAAATTTGTATCCAGTCAACTCATAACAGTAAACAAAGGTGTTATACTCTTTCACTAAAATGATTTTTTCAATCCTAAATAGTAAACTGAAACCAATATAGGTCAAAAAATAAGCAAATCTTAAAAACATGTGTGAATCACACTTACTTTTCTTTCCATAAAGAAAAGTCTGAAAGTTTAAAATAGTTATAGACTATATTATCAACTTTGTTTCGAATTTTCTTTATTTTTCTTACTGCTGCTAATTTTCAGCTAGAGCTTAAAGAAGTAAAGGACATTTTGAATTAAAGAGAAGGTTTCAATAATGAGAATAATCAATATTAATTAATCTGATTAATACTATGATACCAATTAGATTATAATAATTGAAATCATTACACATTTTTTAACACTTACTGTATATGACGTAAGGTATTCAAAAATATGTAATGGTAAATCTCAAAATATATATATACTAATAATAAAATATGTGATAATATGTGTTCAAAATTCTAGTAAAAATTATGTTTAAAATTTTAAATTTTAGGTAAATTATTAAAAGTAAACTAATATAAAAATGATTTGCAAAAAAAAATCAACTTATTTATTTTTATTATAATATAAAAAATTAAGCAATAAAATAGATTTTTCAGAAAGATACATTTTTCTTTCACTTAAAATATTTTTATAATTAAAAATTGTGCTTTATATCTACTCTAACTATTGGTAACCAAATATAAATCAATGCTATTTTTGATAAATTTGGTAATATTAAACTTTTTTCTTTCCAATATTTATCTAAATCAAATTCTCCTTCTTCTATTTACTGTAAATACTCTATAGTTTGAAATTAGCCATTATCATTATCAAACAAAAAATTATTTATGATTGTGATCAGCTAATTATATTTTTGCAGAATATGTGTATACATATTTTATGTGATTTTCTATAAAATATGTGACACATAACATATATGAAAAAATTCTTAAAATATGCGTATATATTTGTATCACATATTCCTGAATACTCTAATACAATGTTAATTTAGACCCAACCTCTAATTATGATCCATATAAGCGAGTCTTTTTTTCACTTTTCTTTATTACTTATAATAAGAACTTCTGCACAATAGAATGACGGACAAACTTGTATGATCATTGACAAAGTAAAAATGGTAATAAAGATTATCACTAAACTTTCCTCTTTTTTCTCATATTTATTCAAAAAAAAATAAATATATCAATGATTTTTTAATATTATTATTAACAAATAAAGCAGATTTAACTTAATAGAAGTTTTAATTTAATCAAATATTTATAATTTGATTTTTGCTTTAACAATTCTAGTCTAGCATGCTATTTTTTAAAACTACTTTTCATTTTTATTTAATAGCATAGCATTATCGTGAACTTTAATTATTTTTTTTTAAAATTTCAAAATTTCAATTTATATATAATTAAAAATAAAATGTTGATTTGTTAATTTAATACAAAGTGTTTTTACTATTTAAAATATGATTATTCAGTTTCAAGTCAGTTGGTCAACTGGTTTGTGAAAATAAAACCAGTTTCAACCTTTATTTTAAAGTAAAGAGCTGAAAAGACTTTGTTTATCAGTTCTAATTATAATTGTTAAGGCAACATTATCTGAATAGTAAAATCTTTCTCTTATCATCAGTACACATGATAATTCATATATAACAATCAGATAAATTCATAATAAAATATTTATTTATCTAAATAAAGTATTGTTCTTATAATTAAATTGTTGAATTAAAGTCAATACTATGTAAATATATTAATAATATTATCGAAATGCTAAACGACATATAATTTAATTTATACTTTTTAAATAAAATACCTTTTATAGAGAACAAGTGAGCAAGTGATAATGAAATTTTGACTAGTCAATAAGCAAATTGAGTAATTAGTCACAAATTTATATTTAAATTATTCTCTTGATTTAGCGGATATAGAATTATTTTATAATAGTTAGTATCCTTATTTGCAGTATAAATAGAGTAATAATTTGTATTAGGAATAAAAAATCTCACATGCTTCATAAAATAATTAAATTGCTCAGAACCAGTTCAGTTTAAGGGATACAACTACAGTAATAAGGGCTGTAGTATGAGCAAAGTTCAGTAACATTCTCAATTTATGAAAATATCTATGTAAAAGATCAATTTGCTCTCCTGAACTCTAGTAACAGATAGTGAACTATAGCAATATTTCTTTATAAGCAAATTTTTATTTTAACCGTTCTGACTTTATGTTGCAATCTGTAAATTACATTGCCAAATTTAAGTATATATATACTGATAGCAATATATTTTCAGCATTCAGTTTTTGAGAAAAGATGAAAGAAATTAAAAGGTAAATAAAATTTGATAAAAAAATCAAAAATTCTAACTGCAAAGTAAAGACTGCGTATGTTCTGCTTGAAGTGAATACTTGAATAAATATCATTGATATTTCAAAGCATAGTTTGTATGTAACAACATGTGTTAACTTGTTATTGTAGATATTGACTTAGTCATAAGAAGTGTACATTTTTTTATTATAGTTAATCTCATTCACTGTCGTCATCCTATTTAGAGACTGAGCTCATATCACAAATAATCCTACACTATCATTATCTGGAATACTAATCATAGCTTCATGTAATAAATTGAGCCTATCCACTGTTTTATTGACTCCACAACTATATTTCTCCTAAAGCAAATTCCCCTATACTATATCTAAAGCAAAGTATATGCTAAAGATATAAGATCATCAACTGGTGCCCTTTCTATCTTCTTCATTCTATCAGCGAATACCATTAAAATTTTATTCATAAATGCCGTTGTTCCTGTAACAGTATCAGGTTCTTCTTCACTTGCAAATACTGTGGTGGCTGTTGTCCAATCAATCAAGATAATATCTGTAGATTCTTTATTTATGCTTTTATAAGTGAGATCAATTTCGCTAATACCACTTCAACTTGGTGCACTAATGCAATTTATTGACAAAACGTTATTATGAACTATATCAAGCTGATGCACTTTGGCAAATATATCTAAAAGTAATACTCTGATATGCTAGACATTTCTTGTATAAACTGTATCTATTGATAAGTTCCTTTAGTAGCGTTATACGTAAGTCTTATCAATTGACTCTATAATGATCATTCTATGACCTAAAATCTACTCATGACTAACAAGTTATACTATTAGTATTCTGCAAATATCAGTAAGATACTTGAGGATACCTGCTTCTCTTTTAGCTATCACTTCTTGTCGTTTAACTTTCACTGTATACAAGGAATCAGAAAATGATCCTAGAAAGATAAGATAAGAGTGTCCAATATTAGCTATCTTGTCGATTGTGACTGACACTTTAGCGGATATGATCAATATTAGCATATTGAAAGGCAGTAGTGGAAACATATCAAAGGGTGAGGTAGCAACAGCTTTTAATTGAAACTGCAAATTGTACCTTTTGATAAAGGAGTACTCTAGTAAGTAGCTCAGTGATTCGAAACTTTATTGATAAATGGAAAAGATTTTGATTCACATAATTCTGTTATTTTTCAGATGTTCTTCACAAACCCGCCATTATAATGCATCAGTGCCAAAGCTATAGTAGCGAATATTATTGTTTATAAGCATAGTTCGATTCAGGGTTGTCAACCTAAAAATTGTTTAGCAAAGTTATAGTTCTGGATAGCACATTCCATCGCCTTCTCTACTAGGTCCCTTTTGATCTTATACATATAGGTAAGACTATAAGGTGTTAGTACCCTCATTCTGAAACTTACGAGTGAAATTGTTCATCATAAGTGTGAAGGTTTGCATAGATTTGTTCTGCATTTTTACCATCCCGTCCGTCTAAAATCTCTTTCATATCACAAACTTTTGCAATCTATTTCAGGATTAAATAGGCAACCAATTATTGTGCTCACTTTTTACCCTCCCCAGATTGTTATGACAATAATGTTACTGGATATACCTCATGTGCTACTATTGCAATCTGATTTCAAACTGAAAACGCTTCTTGGTGCAGTTCTGATAAGAATAACATATTCTCTCAAATTATATAATCATCTCGTACAGCGGTTTAAAACTTAAAAGTTGTTGAGAAACTTTTGAGGTAAAAGGTTTGATCTGCAATTTCGAGAATTAGAATGAATGAATAAAGATAAGAAATAGTATGAAAAGTAGAATTATGTATATTAAACTCTAGCTATAGTAACTTTTGTCTGATAAACTCATAATAAAGAAAACCATATCAGTATAGAATTACAACTTTAGATATAATAACGCTATCTCGATAAATTCATAATATAAGAAAACACACTTCTCTGTCCCTAACGCCTGAGTTACAAAGTCATTACCTGATTGAGAAGCAGTTAGCCTCTCTTGCAATAAAGCTACCTGGTTGCTTCACATTTCCATCTGCGCTTTCAGCTCTTCCTCTCCTCCTCTATCATATCTTTTTCTTACTTCTCTTCTTCCTTAAGTATGTTCATCTGAGCCTTTTTTCACAACTCCTGCAGTTACTGCCCATTCTCCCCTTTCTCAAACATTTTTAATGCTTCTTTTCTTTCTTTTAACTCCCTCATCATGACGTTCAACTCTCGTGTAATTATCTCAACATTTGCCATTTTTTTTTGTTGATAGGAAATGGTTAATATACTAGCTTATCAGAATTTCACAAAATATCACACATATTAAGTAATAGAAATCATTTGAAATCCAGAGCTTATTCTGTTACTATAAATGTGATAATTTTTTTTAGTGATATATCTTTTTTTAAATTACATCATTGATATATATTTTTTTAATTTATTTATAAATAAACTAATTGATTCAATTGAAATATTAAATTTTTTATATAAATACTATTTTATTTTTCCTTTCTGTTCAATTTTATATATATTATAAATTGCTATTCTATATTTTGTAATAATAATAAAATAATAATGATATATATAACTCTTGTAAACAAATGTATCGTTCTTGAACTTGTATGATAACTTTCTTATACCATTAAATCTGCACATATGATGCATAAATAGGATCTTCATATGATATAAGAAAATAGCACCTGATGGTATAAGAAAAATACTGAACTTTTGAATTTTAGTATAAGTCTATTAATCAATAAAAATGGATGATAAAATTTTTTGATTGCAACACTCTTCAAGTTATAAATCTTTAACATCAAGATCAGAATAATAAAAATACATATAAAATATCTTCTATTTCTATCCTTAGTAATTTCAAAAAAGGTTTTCTATGAAAATTTATGAAAAAATAGATAAATTTAAACATAATCTTTACCTTATATACAATAAAAGCTTTCCATTCACAAGTCAAAGTAAAGGGATATACACTACATTTACAACTAAAAAATTTTATATATTGACCTATTTCTTATTGATTTATCAGACATTACAATTAAATCTAATTAAAATGTATATTGTAAAAATTAATTATAAACTTGTTCAATTTCTACAAAGTTTTATATACCTTTTGAAATTAGTATATTTTTATGATAATTAAATTTATTCTAAATTAGAATGAAAATTAATTTACACATAATATATATTAAATGAAATGTTTTTATATTATAAAAGAAATCTGAATTAAATTTTGTTTATACTTGCAAATATAGATAATAAAAAGTATTATAAATTTTATATAATATATTATTATATTATAAAGAAATATTAATGAAACTTTGTTTAAATGTAGCTTATATATACATATATTAATACTATACTAAAAAAACTTCTATTTTATTTTAGATATTTTGAAGAACTTAAATTATTAAACTTTAAGTTTTAGGATTTTTTATTAGAAAAATTATAATAATAGTAAATAATTATGTGTAACATATAAGTTTTATAAAAATCTTTAAAGTAAATTTTATTATAAAATTATATAAAGTTTTTACACTTCAATAAGTCATAACTACTTTTAAAACAAAACTTTCAAAAAGTGATATCAAATATTAGTAATTTCTTAGCTATTCACTTTGTCTGATTTTGCTGTAATATGCTTCATATTATAATACAAGTACATTCAAACCTCTATATAGTCACACTTTATATAAACACACTTCTTTAGAATCATCTGATTTTGTGAAAAAGATTAAATAATAACGATAATAAAATTATCTCTATATAATCATAAATCAATTATAGTCACTATTATACAAAATTCTTAACCTATATATTATTGAAATTTACTTCTTCATAATTACTATAATTTTGGTCAAGAAATAATTTTAACCAGAATTACTATATGAATATTACACGAATAGCCTTTTATAGAAATATATGTTACACGCACTTTAATAGGAAATTATGCAATTCGATTTTTGTGAAACGTTTATCGCTAAATAAGGGAATGATTTGCAGTTATATCATTTATAAATTATAATTCCAACCAAAATTAAGATAATTAAAAAATTTATACCTCTATAATAATCACACCTCTATATAATCACCAATTTTTAGGAAACCGAATGGGTGACTATATAGAGGTCCGACTGTAATAATATAATATATAAATATAATAAGAATTAAAGAACTTGCAATTTAAAAAAAAATATATTAAAAGTTTTTTATATTTTATAATAAAATTTTTTTATATAAGTAATTTAACCATTAATTTATAATACATAATACAATTTCTTAGTTGAATTTTAAAGCAGATTTTTTTTTTTGTTAAATAAAGTGTTATTACTTTGACTTAAAAAAAGCTTTATAATGAATATACTATTAATAACATCATGTATGCATATACCTACCAAACTTTTAATTCTTAAATCCCTAATAAATTTCTTATAAACTATTAATAAATGTTTAATATTCTAACTTAAATATACTACGATTCGTATTACTTATATAAATTTTTAACGACGATATTATTGGCCTTATTTAATCATTATTATTACAATCTTATTACGCGGCGTATTTTTATTTGTGATTTTATTTCAAATTTTTTTTTTTCTCTTAATGCTTAATTAATATTCATCACAGACATATTATAACTTTACATTTGAATTCTTCTTAAGGTGGCATTAAGATGTTGAGCCATTTGTTTGTGTTGTGTTGACATATTAAATACATATGTCATTGTCTCGCTTATAGGATCCACCATCCAAGTTCTTTTTATTAAACGTAAAAATTACAAATTAAAAATTAGGTTAAATTACGAGAAACAAAAAAAAATATAAAAATATGCATTACCGAGTATATTCTGTTATATGAGGAGGCTAAATAATTAATATTACAAAAATTTTAATTAATAATTCATTTATGTTTATTAAAAGTGAAGTTACTGTTTTATAATCAATAATAACCTTGGCACTGCTAGATCGTGAAATATTAGTTGATCTAAACATGATTGTTGTACCATCAATTCTACCTTCTTCGATTGAAGCGATTCCTTTAATAAAAGAAGTATTTTGAGATTTCAACTTTCTTTTTTCTTTCCTGTGATTTGAAATAATCTAAAGGTACCTGTAGGTTGAGCCAAAACCAATTCAACTTTATCACTCATCCCAGGCGTTCGAATATATCCCATTTCGCTGTGAAAATTTGAATTGTTTTTCATGGGATTCCATGTTTTCTGCCTATAAAAGTTACGCGTTTTATTAAAAAAATCACTCCTTATAAAACGAAGGAGAATGATTTCCTTACCTATAATATAACCAACCTCTGCCAGCTTCATCAGGATAAATGGTAATTTCTTCATTATAAATAAAATCATTGATACCTTCAAATCTACCGCTTCCTTCACCGTACCAAGTTCCAAATAAGAAATCCAACGGATGATTTAGTTTCTGTTGTTTAGATTTCCTCATATTTGCGCCATCTATGTGATGATGATGAGGATGTAACATTTCTTCCTCTAAATTATATTGAGGTTGTAATATTTGATAATTTTGTTGATGAAAATCATAAATATTGTTAATATTCGAACCAAATCCACCTCCGAAATTACTTGCAGTGAGTTCATTTAAACCACTAATACTGCTATAACTTCCTCTTTTATTATTATTATTAGTACCACCGTTACTTGAAGTATTGTCAGGCTTGAACACTTTATGAGTTTTAGCCAAATGATTTATTAAATTTGAAGTGGATCCGCCATGTTTAAAAGTTTTATTGCAAATATTACAAGTTGCTACACTTTCGCCATCCTGTAAAGTTTTTACTTCGAAATATGGCCACACCCAACTTGTTTTCGGTCGCGGTTCTCCTAATTTTATTTCAAACATTGATGACATTTTTTTTTTTTATCGAAAAAAAAATCTTATCAAGTGGGGACAAATTTTATAGAGGAATAGGATAATTAAAAACGGGTAAATAAAAGAAAAAATCGAAAGCGTACAAATTATCGATTAGAACGACGAATAAACGAGTTATAAGCGAAAATGTTAAAGAAAAAAAAATGACAATAATAATCTAATCAAGGATGAGTTAAAGACGGAATTTTTCAAAAAAGAAAAAAACAAATAAAATAAAATAAAATAAAAGAGAGAAAACATACGACGAAAAATCAACCACCAATTTCTCCCTCTAATAAATCAAGTGAACAAGTGATTGATGCGATGAAAGTTATTTTTAATTTTTTTTTTTTAAATTTTTTTTTTTTTTTTTTTTGTTTTATTTATAATTTTTTCGACTTATTTATTATACTTGTAATTTTTTCTAAAAATCACAAATATAAATTAATTTTAAAAAAAAATAAATTCATTTATTATTACCCTTACAATTTATATAATCATCTTAAAAAGGATTATGCAGCTGTCAGATATTTCTTATCTGATAAGATTTCCCATTCTTATCTGGCATTGATTGTCCAAGGTACGAAAACCCATCCATCAGAGAATTCATCAAAAAAGGGATCATCGCTGCGGAAAATATTAAAAACCTTCATTTCTTCGATTTTTAAGTTAAATAAGTTTACGGATAACACTCCGAGAATTATACAGAAATGGACCATTATTTAAAAATTTCCCCATATTTTAATAAAGCCGAATATCAATAAACAAATTATTTTATAGATCAAACAATCAGAGATAAGAAAATCTAAAAAGATTAAGATTAGATACTATAAATACAGTGTCATAAATGTTCCAAATTTTATTGTGATAGGTAATTTTACCAGTTATCAGTTAGATTGTAAGACCAAAACGGTACTTTTTGGAGGCAATGTAACAACATGGAACTTTGAGTAACGTCTAGCAAACAACAAACATTTTTGGCGGGAAATTACTTTAACAAATCCATGCATAAACGCACAGACTACACAAAAACCCTATGTCACCGATAATTAGTCAGCTGATCCTGGGAAAATGTATCGTCGCCTCCCCGAAAAAAATTCCTCGTGACGATGTTCAGTTATTCACATGTATTGTAATCCTCTTATCTCTCAAATGTATGAAAATTCTTATCGGAATTTCAAACTACTTCCGACTTTACGCGATTTTAAAACTTAAATTATTCCTAAATGTAGCTGATCTTCATTCCCCTCTCTCTTCATTTTTAAAAATAAAGAAAAATGCCTTCTGAATTTAACCTTCCAGTTATCGATATTTCTTCATTCACCACTAATTTAAATTCTCTGGCTGCGAAACGTGAGACAGCTAAACAGATTCACGAAGCTTGTCGTGATGTTGGATTTTTCTACCTGACGGGTCATAATGTACCTCAAGAAATTATTGATAAAGTGTTGAAATTAGGTTATGAATTTTTTCATTTACCAGAAGAGGAAAAAATTAAATATAGCATAGCCAATGAAGATTATGCAAGGTTGTCATTTACGTTTATCTAAAATTTTTGAGAATGATGAATGGAATTAATTATTTTTTTTTTTTTTTTACTTTTGAAGAGGGTATCAAAGACTTGGTGAGAATGTTACCAGGTATCAAAAAGATTGGCACGAGGTAATTGGTCGCGTTATTGTAACGGCTATAATTCTTTCACGATGATGAAGTATAACCTACTCAAAAATTTCCAGGCACTTGATTTCTACAAACCGATACCTCGTGTGCATCCATTGGTCTTGAAAAACCTACCTTTGAGAGGTGAAAATCAATGGCCCGAGAACCCGGGAGAATTTCGTTCAGTATTTAATGAATACATAAACCTTATGCTGAGATTGGGTGCTCATGTGATGAGTGCCATCGCATTAGGGTTAGGATTAGAGGAAGATTTCTTTGAAAAATTTATAAACGAGTCATTTTGGTATGCATGCATCTTCGTAAATCTTTAGGTAGGGCAAGGTATTCGTAATTGTAACAACACAATATTAAATTAATGTAGGGTTATGAGAGTTATCGGATATCCGGATCTTAGAAGTGTAAAAGACAAAAGCCGCGTAAATTTTAGCTGCGGTGAACACACAGGTGATGAAATATAATTTTTTAAAATGTGATTTTTAACCGATACATTTTGTGTAATATCTAAAACAAAAAAAATTATAAAAAAAATATACATATAATAATTAAGATTACGGGTATGTAGAAATCAATGTATCAAACGTATGTTGACATTGCCGAACTTTTTTCTAAAAAATTTCACCCTTTTACTATAAAAAGCTGCCTAACCTTTCTAAATCAGGATAACACCAAAGGAGCCTTGCAAGTTCAAAGAAAAGATGGCACTTGGATTAATGCTGATCCAATACAAGGTGCTCTTGTGGTGAACATCGGCGATATGTTGAATGTAATTATTATCTTACTTTTTTTTTTCTTTGGTACAAGAATCAATGTTAATTTATAAAACAAATTTGCTTATAGGTCTGGTCGAATAACGTGTATAAAAGTACTCTTCATAGAGTCATTCACAAGGGTGATGATTATCGTGTATCGTAAGTCTTCTATTATTATATGTTATTTTATAGTATATATTAAATCACGTTATAATTATCTGTAATTTTTTTTTTTTTATTAAGTGTTCCGTTCTTTTACGAGCCTAATTTCGATGCCAAAATAGAACCACTCGAGCCTTGTTTAAAACTCGATCCCGTGAGACATCATGAGCCCGTCGTTTATGGAGAACATTTGTTGAAAAAGGTTTCAACAAATTTCGAGGTTACAGAATTGTGAAATCTAATTTGTCATTAGGTGTTTTTGTATTAGGAACCCTAATTTTCTCATTATTCCCGGAAAGATTCCGTAAGCATATCTAAACAAAACGCCATAACTAGGATACCATAATTCTTTTTGCCCATTTAATCCACTTTGTAAGATTATTTTTGCGGTTTCTTCAGCATTCACAACTACATGATCAATCAACCATTTTGGGAAATATTTATCAGTATTGTTCCTCATTGTAATCGTATTAATTGATCCTAAATAACATAAAGTAATTTTGATTTGATTTTGTAATCCTTGATATTCTAATTCTTCATTCAATGAGACGAAATATGAGTTAACTGCTGCTTTTGAAGTGGAATACGCCCACGACATTCCTAATGAAATCATGGACATAAATGAGGATAAGACTATAATTGATTTAAATTCTTCCCCTTTTTTAGAAATCATGTGCGGTATGGCCAAGTGTGACAACGTAGCAAATCCAATTAAATTTGCCATCATTATATCTCGAAGTTTTTCAATCATTAATGCTGGATTATTAAAGTCCATATGTTCAAATAATGACATGGCATGATTCAATATTAACATATCTATTTCGGGTTTTTTATTATTAATTTCATTAAAGTAGTTTACTGATGAATTTAATAAATATTCACAGCCTTCTTCATGTTTGAGGTCGCATGTAACGATCTTTATTCGTTGATTTGGGGATATTTTATTACACTCGGACGCAACTTTTTCTAAAAGTTTTGTTCTACGAGACGCTATTACGATATTAGCACCATGCTTAGCACATATGTATGCCATTTCTTCACCAATTCCCACGCTTGCTCCCGTGATTATGACATTTTTTCCTTGGAGTTTAGAAAGTGGTGGCATATTGTATATAAAAAAGAATTTCATTAATGTAAAGGAAATGATTAAAGAGAAGATTATGACTGATAGCATTTTTCTGTTTTAAGGGAATAGTATAAAAATTATTTGATAATCTAACCAAGTTTATGCATTATGTTGTGTCATTATGATGGATCATTAGGGTCAGCAGATACATATAATCGAACTTTCTTTATGTGCTTTTTTTTTTATTTTCTGAAAAAAAAAAAAAAAAAAAAAAAAAAAATCATTTAAAGGGAATAAATCTGACAATAATGAGCAATATTAACACAACACCACCTCTTGTTAATCTGAATAAAATCAACACAGTCCCAGAAGGTACTGGTGCAAGTAGTATTCTTTTTTTTTTTTTTTATTTCCGACAAAGCTTTTTTTTTTTTATTGTATGTTGAGCTTTTTTCTTTCCTAGTTGAAATACGGTTGCACGAGCCACTCATTATAAAACCGAAATCTCGTAAAAAACGGATAGGGTTACATGTTTTAAACGCGTTAGCAAGACTAGAAGTTTTGTTGAGTAAAGAGGAAATGCTTGCAAGTTCGGAAACTGGTGTGCAGAACTTGAAGCAGGTTTGTGTGGTGAAAGATAAAGTTTTGAAAACAACAAATTTGATTGATGGTCGAATTATATCCGGAATTTTACCATCGTCGGTTATCAATGCCAAATGTGCAGTTTCTCGAGTCCATCTTCCTAACTGGTAATGTTTTAATGTGGATTGCTGAACGATATTTACAAATGTTAGGAAACAGTACTGGGGTTTTCGCAATTTTGATTTGAGATAATTGGGTTAATTTTGAAATTCAATTTGCTTTTGTAAATATAATTTCAATTTGCTGACGCAATCCTTTCTTTTTTTTTTATTCTAGCAACAATATAACAAAACAGAGATTGAAAATACAATTGCTGCTTTAGAACTTTCGATATTTCAATTTGAAGAAGATGGATTAGCAAAAAAGGATATTCAAGTAAGGTTTGACATGTAATTTTTGATTAATAATTTATTTAACTGAATATAACCTTGTCATATAGACGTATCTTAAAGAACTTGGCCTCACGTTGTTATTCCCGAAATCTGCGAAGCGATTAATTGTGCCAAATTTCGCCTCAGGGAAAATCGATGCTTTGGGTAATTAATTTCATTAATAACAATTATTATTATTATTATTATTTAGATTTTCAACTAATTCCGTTTGAATTTTTCAAATAGCACATTTCCATGAGATGAATGTACTTAATCAACTCGTTTCAATTGCATTGCAACTTCAACAAGATATAAAACTCACAAACCACAAATACATGGCACACCAACTCGCATTACTATACGTAGTTATAATTTATTTATTTATTTTTCACTATCATTTAATAATTTTTTTTTTGTTTATCAACTTTGTTTGCACATTTTATTCATTAGCAATGCCTCAACCAAGCTGGTGGTCATTTTATTAAATATAAATCGCGTGTTGAATTACATTTCGATGCTATTAAATCACTGACAAATGGCTTAGAACAACCGAGACTTTCACCAGAACAAAAAGAATGGTAAATATCTCATCCCAAATTCATATAATTAAATTATTAGATCCTAACCCAATTTTCAAAAAAAAATAAAACCAAAAAAAAAACCAAAAAAAAAAAAAAAAAAAAAAAAAAAAAGGCTATCACAGCTGACGGCGGATGTTGTTACTGAAGCTCTATTTAGTGGAAGACCTGTTACCGCGATGTCACAGCCTCTGGCGGCGTATTTAAACAATATTAGTGAGGTGGCACCAAAATGAAAAACGAACTAATCGATATAACACCAATTCGATAACTAAAATTTCAAACTCCATATGCATGATTATCAGAATATGAGTAATCGCGATTGTTTTTTATAGACAATAAATTACCTTGTTTAGACTTTTTTTTTTTTTTAAATTAATGAAAAATCGAACCATCATCTATTTTTGGAATAAAGTATTTAAATAATCAAGATCGTGTGAAAAATCTTATGTCTCGTGGGAATGTAATATCTTTATTGTGGCTTGATTTACTTAATTTGGTTTAAACTTTATTTTAATGTGACAATAAGAAAAAAATTAAACTATGGATCTAAGCCTCGTGGTCTGAAATGCAAGCTTTGTTTTTTATTTTTTGGCGCGTTAAGCGAGCCACGGAAGGATTTGAAAATAAACTGTATGGTATGATTCGGAAAATTGCGGTTACATATAAATCTGTTGGTTGAAGTTTACGATGCATTCCGAATCATAAAAAAAAATTCCCACCTAAAAAAACGCCAGTTAGACAAATTTGTACACAAAATCTTGGAATAATTTATTACGGTAGATCAAATAATACATATTTAACTGCTTTGTGACTCATTTAACTAGTTTCAGCTTGATTATGACAATATCATTTTTGATAATCATTCTCGACAAAATTAAAAACGAACATTTTACTTGTCTTTTTTTTTTTTTGTTTTTTTGATTTATTTAATTGAGAAAAAAAAAAAAATTTATTAACTGTTAACTATGAGTTCAGGTGCGTGATACCCCTTTTTGTTATTGACTCCTGTTTTCGTTTTATTAAAACTATTTCGTTCTATCATAAACAGATACAAAGATTGCTTGCGTGGTATGTTGAACACATTTCAATCGTTGGTTTTGTCAAACAATCGTGCGATCTGAGCCATTTGTTTGAATAACACTTGCGATCCCGTGTTTGCATTATCTTCCAATTCGATTGTTCAAAAAGAATTTTTTTTACATTTATATAGATGGTAGGACTTCCCGCTCGTGGAAAGACCTATATAGCACAAAAAGGTATTTATAAAAAGTAATGATATATATTTTTTTTTATTTTATTTTTTGTTTGGTTTAATTACCTTTATTTGGATCATATAATGAGGCACTACTCCCAATTATATTCAAGTTTACATTTTTTCCCTCATTGATAGTTTGTCGATATCTTCAATGGTTAAGCGTCTCGACAAAGGTATTTAATGTTGGTAATTATCGACGTAAGCTTCATGGTGCACATCAGATGCACTCGTTTTTCGACCCCAACAATAAGGAGGGTGAAATTGCGCGTAGGGAAGCGGCAGCTGAAGCCCTCAAAGATATGTTGAGATGGTTCGAAGTTGAAAATGGCACGGTAGCCATATTTGATGCTACAAATTCCACCCGGGAAAGACGAACTTTCATTCTTAATCATTGCAAGAAACAAAATATTCAAGTCATCTTCATTGAGACGGTTTGTCAGGATGAGAATCTCATCTTGCAAAACATAATGGATGTTAAACTATCATCTCCTGACTATAAGGATATGGATCCCGAAAAGGCAGCCGAGGACTTTCGTGCTAGAATTTCCCATTATGAGGAAGCGTATGAAACTATCACGGAGAACGATTTCACTTATATCAAGCTCATCAATGTTGGAAGTCAAGTAGTGATTAATCTGATTCAAGGATACCTTCAGAGTCGGATTGTATATTATTTGATGAATTTACATATTATGCCTAGAAGTATTTTCTTTAGTAGGGTCAGTATGTTGATGTTTTAAAAAAAGTTTTGTTGTGAGAGAACGGAAGCTCATAGTTGATGGGTATTTACACCAAAAAAAAAAATAATAATAATAATAAATGAATAAATAGATTAATAAAAAAATAACCAAAAACGTATTATCTGATATTAGCATGGGGAGAGCATCTTTAATCTATTGGGGAAAATTGGTGGTGATTCCGATCTATCTCCACGTGGTCGTAAATATGCCAATGCTTTACCTAAACTGATTCATGAAAACTTGGGCAATCAACCATTGACAGTAAGTTAAAACAATTTTCATTATTCATATTCATTATCGTTATTGTTATTGTAATTGAATTAATTAATCTATTTATAGACTATTGACTGTGTTTTTTTTTTCTTTGATTTTCCCAAAAGGTCTGGACATCCACAATGAGACGAACAATACAAACCTCAGAACAACTGCCATATCCAAAATTACAATGGAAGGCATTAGATGAATTGGATGCAGGGGTCTGTGATGGAATGACATATGAAGAAATTGAGGTTCGTCGGGATGTACTTTGGACAATGATTAGTTCTTCTTGATACGTGCAACACTGATAAAAATTGGCAACAGAATTATTCAAGACATCATATTTATTCATTCATATAATATCATTTCTTATAGGAAAGATATCCTGAAGATTACGCTAATCGAGACGAAGACAAGTTTAACTACCGATATCGTGGTGGTGAGGTAACATTTCAATCAATAAAAAAAAAATTTATTATTATTTGAAAGTACAATATAATCCATTGTTAAGGTTGAATTTTTTTTTTTTTTTTTTAAACAAAAAAAAAAATATTCAAATTCAAATAACTAAAATGGAAACAATAAAAATACCACACATTGTTTAACTAAAAAAATTTTTTTCTCCCCGTAATATTGTCAATATTGACAGTCTTACCGGGATGTTGTCCTTCGTTTGGAACCAGTGATAATGGAACTTGAAAGGCAGCAAAATATCCTAATAGTGGGACATCAGGCTATCCTTAGATGCATCTATGCATATTTCCACAATTTACCTCATGACGAATTGCCGTATATTAAAATTCCTTTACATACAGTTATTAAATTAACTCCAAAGGCGTACGGGTGTGCCGAGGTTAGATACAGGGTAGAGATTGACGCGGTGGATACACATAGGCCTAAACCTCAGCCAAAACCGCCAAAACCAGTTATTAATGGCAACTCAATCTCCAGCTCAAACCTAACTAATGTCGCAAGTTAAATTTCTCGCATTGTGTTTTGCGGAAGTTTCGGGGGACAAATGGATATTTTTAGGTGATCATGACATTTTGATTATTATTTTCATTTCTTTAACAACTAGTACTATTATGGACCTTTATTTTTTGATCATATGGTGTAAATGCAGGCTTCGCATTTGAAAAGAGGGGGAAGGGGGGATATGGGTGAAGATCGAAGAAAACATAAATTTTGGTCTTTGGTGAATGACACCAAATTTGGCTAGGGTTGGTTTGTAAAAGGATTTATGATTCACAATCGTAGATAATTTTTTTTTAAACAATTATTATCTGAATATCCTTTGTATAATCAGTCATTGCGCCCTTTTTTTTAAAAAAATTTGTTTCTTACCTATTATACAAGGTAAACTTTTGTATCAAAAAATATAAACTGTTTTGGTTTTCTTCCAACGCCGTATTTTGTTTTTTCTTATGCAAGTCTGTGTGGAGAAGCGCACATACGGAAAAAGGAGAGCTGCTTGAAAGGGCATTTCACGAGAGAATGGGGCTTTTGCATGTGAGAAAGGTGCTCAGTTCTTTGTTTTAAAAGGTAGAAGCGGGGAGGAAGGTATATCTTTGAATTTTTGAAAATTGATTGGAAAGAGGGGCGAATGCAATAAAAGTTTGACGTTTAGCTGCAGTAGTGATCACAAAGCTGTATAAGCCCCCCTGCAGCATAAACCACAAATAAATTTCCATCGACAATATAACCTGATCTGTGTGACTTATTTTTCTTTATGTTTAGCGGGTTAAAATAACCGCTCAAAAAGACTTTAAAAATCTATATCCAAATAGTGATACACAATTCATAGACTTTAATAGAACATTAATAGAATCGTAATTCGTCGCATCATCAATATAATTTCATAATTTAACACACGGACAATAAAACAGGTTTTTTTTTTTTTTTAATATACAACAAAAAGATTTATCGTAAACTAAAATTGAATCAAACCCGCCAACTTACTTGTATCAAAATCAATGTTGGGCATCATCAACTTTATTCTCCTCCCTTGCATTTTAGATGATAGGGTTTTTACCTTATTTGAGATATACATGTATTGATTTTAAAAATTTTTTTTTTTTTTTTTTTATTATATCACTCCCTTTCCTCCAATCTTTGGTTCTTTTGTTCTTACATCCGCTTTTTTTCTCTTCTTTTTTTTTCTTTTCTTTTTTTTTTTTTTTTTTCTTTATATATATATATACATACATATTATACATAACTATCTTATACATATAATATTAAAAAAAAAAAAAAATAAAAATAAAAAATAAAAAAAAAATTATTATATTATTATTATTATTATTATATTACTTTTGAAGTCCTGCCGAGTCAAGGCTTCTCGTATATTGTTTTCGTATTATTCTTGTTAAAAAAGGCGTTCCTAATTAATTATAAGAGCAACTTTATCTTAAAAATTTACCGCCTTATAGATCTTTTTTTTTTTTATAAAGGGAGTGTGTAAATATATAAACAGTATATAAAATATTACCAAAAAAAAAAAAAAAATAAAATAAAATAAAAATTTATTTTGAACATATCAAAAAATTTCTGGCAAAAAAAATAAACATTTTTCTTTTTCCTTACTTTTTTTTTTTTTTTTGTTACCACCCTTTTATTTTTCGTAATTTGATATCGATTGCACATTTTGAAAATGGCCACACCACCTTTTATATTACCCCCAAACATTTCCGCGTCGGTACATACCGCACCACCTACTCCTAATGTAGTCATGCCTCCTCCACCACCTCGGCATAGCGTTTATTCTAGTGACCCACGCGCTCACCTCATAAGCGCCAGTAATTATTTTCAACTATATTCCACATCCTCACCGGCGGCGACAGAACAACGTTTTGTAAAGAGTTTTGAAAATCAAGCTACCTCAAACATCCTACCCCCAATTAACACGTCCACCAATGTGGTTACTGGATTTAACACGTCGGGAAATAACAATTTACTCTTTTCTAATAACATGTTGGTTTCACCTCATGGGGAACGACTTTCTCCCTCAATAACTTCTTCTAGACCACGTCTTGAGATCAGACGTAGCAGTGAACCGACATATCATATGGAATATGCCACCTCGGAGTCGTCGTCGCCTTTTACGTCAACTAGCAGGTTTACCCAACAGGATACCATTCAAAATTTTAACTTACAACAGAAACTTGGTCACATGAAATTATCTACAGCATCACCCGCAAAAACTATCATGCAACAAATGCGTCGTAGACCCTCCACGTTATCACAAATTTTGCACGATGATTACAGAAAAGAAAGACAGCCAATAGAGCAGAATAATATTAAGCGGCCAAAATTTGACGACAGGAGGGAGGATGGGAATAGAGATGGTGAAGATGGTGATAGTAGTAATAATTGTAATAATGTTTGCCAAGAGAGGTGAGTGTTACCCCATCTTTAATAAAACAAAAAAAACAAAAGGCAATGAGTGAGCCTGAAAGTATTCGAGCGAAAGTTTAGGAACTTTCCTTTTGTTCAAAAAAATAAATATATAAAAGAGAATTCCTACTCTATTCCCCTCCCTCCTGTTGATCTTTCTGGGAGTTGATTATTATGATCCAGAGAATATGAGCTCCAATCATCATGCCTTTTATTCCTCTTACATTAGAAAAACGATTTTTTTCTTTTATTTACGAGATTGATTACTAACAAAACTTTACTCAACACAAATTGGGTCCACGGAAATAAATTCATTTCGTAGCAGGGGGATTACACCATGTCTTTCACCGCTTCAAATCGTGCCTACGACTAACGCGATGAGCTCGTCATCAAAAGGCTCGCCAGTTACAACAAATGATAGTAGTGATACTGGAAGTATGTTGGGTGAACAAGTTCCGCAACAGCAAATTTTACGACAAAACAAAGGGCTCAGGCACTTTAGCAAGCAAGTATGCGATAAGGTGGAATCAAAAGGCGTGACAACTTATAATGAGGTAGGTAACGAGAAGAAGGATATTTCTGTTGTAAAAAATGGGGAAGTCACGCGCATTTTGTGTCAAAAAAAAAAAAAAGGAAAAAGGAAAAGTAAAAAGCAAAACAAAAAACTGTACGCGCGGGGATATTTTTAAAACCTTTTCATTCATGCACGATAGTACATCTTTGTGCATATGAGGCATCTCTAATTGATTGGCAATTTTTTTTTTTTGTGTCGCAATTCAATGCATCAGGTTGCAGATGAGCTTGCTGAAGACTTTGCAGCCCAGGTGACAGAGCATGGAGGTGTGGTGAGTTTAATTTACAAATGTATCCATATGTATGATTTCCTTTTAGGGTCTTCAATGATTAATGATTCCTCTGCTAATCATTATTTCGTTTTTAATATTAATTTCATGTAGCAAAAGGTGGATCAAAAAAATATTAGACGTCGTGTATACGATGCTTTAAATGTATTAATGGCAATGGACATTATAGCCAAAGATAAAAAAGAAATCAGGTGGTTAGGTTTGCCGGGTCAAAAAAATGGTGTGAATTCGGCAACATCGTCTGCGACGACTGATGCTGAAATTGAAAGGCAAAAATCTGAGCTTCGAGAACTGGAGGTAAATAAATAAAGATTGTGTTTTTTTTTACACGTAATTTTTGAATGTTAACGGCGTACCGTAAACGCGTGGAAACAACATAAAATGTTTATAAATGATGACATGATATATTTAGCGACTTAATCGGCGCTTGAGTAAACAAGTGGACGAAGCTAAGGTTGCTTTTCAGGATAAATTAGCAAGGGTAAGTTATTTATTTATTTATTTTTATTATATTGGGAGAGGGAAAAAACTAATAATACGTTAGTATAATATAACTTAATTTCTGATTGATTGTGTAATTTAACAATGTTTCAAAAAAATTTGATTATATAGCACCTTCACATCCGTAACCTTGTGAAGAGAAATAAACGTCATAACCCTTATCGAGTAACGAACAACAAATTAAAATCCGAAAAAGAATTGCACCTTCCTTTTAGGTTATTACATTGTCCACGAGGAACAACCATTGAACATCACAATGGCCAAGATGGGTAAAGGACATTGTTTAGATTTTCAACGTGCAGATTTTTTTTAAGTTGCATGTAAAATCATAATTCATTAAATTAATTATAGTGTTTTTTGTGTTTCATAGATTTTCTCAAATCCTTTCCTTTCATCCTCATCAACCCACTATACTCGAAGACACTCATATTTTGCAATACATTGGTATGGACAAAATTTCGCTCGATGATATACAACAATGGGTTAACCCTGAACATTTGAAATGGATTGTCACGAAACAGTGTGAAGATGGGGATTATCGTATAAGATGTGCTCAATAATTTTTGCACAAAAAAAAAAAAATTAAGCTTTTATTATTTTCCCGTGTTTTACGTTGAAAATAACAATAAGATTCCGAACACTTTTTTTCATTTTTTTTTTTCTTATTTTATTTTCTCTAAGCTTTTTGTTGAAAAATAAGCAGTTGATCAAAAATCATGAACAATTGAATAAAACAACTCAATTCTCTTCTTTTTCCTTTGTCTATGATATCATTGATTTAATTGGATAAATTGTGTTACAATTTTACATAAATAGTTTTCGTGCGAAAACTTTTGATGTGCACAAACAATTATATAACAATGTTTAATAATTTTCGATTATTTTGATGTAAGTTTGGCGTTCTACACCCTTTAAACCCCCCACACTTGACGATCAATGGAGATTTTTTTTTTCGTTTTATGATAGATGTGCCCCAACATAACATTTATTTAGTATGGTGGTAATTTATTCATTAATAGCAAAGATTTTATTTAATGAGGACAATTAAAGAATTTTATAGGTAAATCCATATATGTAAACAAGATTTGGACACGTTTTGAGGTGATACCAAGATACCAAATAATATGCAATGTTAAATAAGTGACCGATTTTATTTGGGTTGTATAATGGTAATTTGTTTACATTATGTATAATTTATCATGTGGATATTATGTTATATGAACTTATTTTTTTTGCATAAACATGTTTTATAAAATAATAACTAGTTTTTTGTCGTAATCCTTTATTGTTTAGACTTGGAATAGTTTCTTTATTGATTTCAAAATGCAACAATACATGTTTTTTTTTAAGCTTTTAACCTTTGCACATATTTAGCTAATCTCTAATTTTTATGCAAATGACAACATCTGTTCCATGTTACAGGCAGGTTATTTGCCAAAAGAACGAATTATCAGACTGAAAGAAAACGTAATGTTTATTCATATATATATACTGTAACGCGTGTGCGACATATTTTATATAATATAATATATAATAATTTAATGTGGTACCAAAAAAAGAGGTGATCTCCCAAAAACATCTTTTTCTTTTTCTTTATTTTTTTTTATTTATTTTTTTTTTTTCGTGACATCCGAAGGGGAAGAAGGTATACGAGAATTATAATTAAATTTTTTTTAAAAAAAAAAAAATAAAATAAATAAAAGATTTTTCCTCAATTATAAAATCTTTTGAACATTTCAGGTTACTATTAAAAAAAATTATTATGAATGAAGGTTGACGACGGTGGGGTTTGAACCCACGCATGTTTCCATACCAGGGCCTAAACCTGGCCCCTTGGACCACTCGGGCACGTCGCCTGTTATATGAAAAATTTTTATTATAACAATAAGAAATATCTTTATAGGTAAATTCTACGGTTTCTTCAAATATTTCCGAATCACATGACTTTCATAATTTTTATAGGAACTCATTCAAAATATATATGAAAAAAATTTTTTTATTCAAAACACGTATATAAAAATATATATCTTATGGGAATTGATTTTTTTTTTTTTTTGTGATAAATTAAAAATTCTAGATGTTAAACGTCCTTGATATATCGTTTCAATTTTTGGAAATTTTTGGCCGCCTCATCCAATGTTTTATCGGTCTTACAAAAAGCTAATCTAATCAGATTCTCGGCAAGGTGAGCATTTTCCTTACAATAAAATTCACTTGGTGGAATGGCTACAACACCAATTTCTTTTGCCATCCAGTAACATACTTTAAAATCCCTAGGACGTTGTTGAATAACTTCTGGATATGGATAATCCTCAGGAATTTGAACTTTTGCAGTGTTTGCAAGTATAAAATAACTTCCTTGTGGAATAGTAAAAGGAAGTCCGACGTCTGTTAAAACTTTCATCAATTTCTCGCGTCTACGCGTATATGCTTCAATATTCTTTTCAAAATAATTATGCTTTTCGGCTGCATTAAACGAAGACGCAAGCGCTTCCTAAAAAAACATCATCATAAATAATAGAGTATTAAATGACAAAGTGAGTCGGATTTAATACCTGAAGAGGAGTATTGACACAAAAGACGATTCTGGTTTGTGCCGACAGCGCAGCTCCTACTAAATTCTTTGGTCCAATCAACCATCCAACACGCCATCCGGTCGTGCCAAAGGTTTTTCCACCACTTCCAACGGTGATGGTACGTTCCCATGCACCAGGAAGATTAGCAATTCTTTCATGAACATGAGGTTCATAATAAAGTCGATCATACTTGACGTGGGTGAGAGGGAAAAAACATTTTAAAAAATTTTTATAAACTAATAATGAATGAGAATAGATCATCGCATACCACTTCATCACTTATGATTATCAAATTAAATTCTTCGGCCAATTTGGTTATTTCAGCCATTTCGACTAATGAAAAAACTTTCCCCACAGGATTATGTGGGGTATTAAAAACTATGATTTTACTTTTTGATGTAAGTTTTGATCGAAGTTCGTTCATGTCTAATTTCCAGTCTTCTGATGACATGACTTTATTTGTGTCACCTTGAGGCCTTAAAGGGACGTAGACGGGAACACCACCGTTCATGGTGATATTCGCCTAATGTGATTGTGATTATTAGGTAAGAAAAAGAATCAAGATTTATCACCAAAGGACGACAAACATGAGAGTGATTGCATACGATATATTGATCAAAAAACGGTTCAATTAAAACAACTTCGTCGCCCGGATTCAAAAACGCGGAAAAGGTTGCGTATAAACCTTATTTTACGGAGAGATGCAGAGATTAAATTTAATAGAAGTGAATAATTTTACGCATTCTGGAATAACAAAAGAACTTTATTAAAAGTAAACCTTCATTTGCCCCTGCTGTAGGAAGAATTTCTGTATCAGGATCTAATGTTCGTTTAAACAAAGGACTATAAGATTTTGCTAAAGCTTCTTTTAGATTTGGTCGACCCTTGGGATGACTTGTAAATAATATAAAAGAACAATGATAAAATTGCGACAAAATTTCCCATATTCAAATTTGACCAACAAAAGTAATATCTAACCTATACTGATGATAATTCGGATTATTAATAACATCGCTTGCGGCTTCTATGACGAAATCCGGTGGAGGGAAACTTGAATTATAAATTTTAAATTAAATTCAAAGAATATAGCTACTTCAAAAAAAAAAAAAAAAAAAAAAAAAAAAAAAAAAAAAAGGCAATATGACGCTGCGAAAATAAGTTTCATACTCCATAAAACCTTGACCTAAATTCGCAGCTTTGAGTTGTTGAGCCAATGGAGTGAAAATGGACCATACTAAAAATCAATTATTTAGATATGTATCGTAATTTGATAGTTTGTATGCAGAATTCTCATTTTTTTTCATTACCATCTTGTTTGAAATGTGTGATTTTATCAGATTTTTCAAAAGGTTTGAACTTAATCGTGTTAGTGGACATTATATATCGGGGTTTGAATAAATTGTTTGAAAATTTTATTTGATGCCTTTTCGTGACAAAATGGCCAATACAAAAAATTTTCTTGAACATACTTAAAATGGGACTCTATGGCGATCCGGCTATCAAAAATCTAAAAAAAAAAATTTACATAAGCAAACAAGTTGATGATCATAGGACATTTCTGATCGCAAATCCATAAGACGTGATCAAATTAACGAATTTTTGATCGGCTTTTTATTAACAACCTTTTTATATAGGAATAATTTTTTGCATATTGTTATTGGGAGAGGAAATTTTGCTGTTGCCGTTGAAAAAATTTTATTCAGTAAAAGGTTTAAAGTTTAACTGTGAAGTTGGACGTATGGTATATTATTAGTTAATTTCTCTTGAGGCTCAGGTTTATAACGTTTAAGTTGAAGTATATAAACCAAATTCTAAAAAAAAAAGCATAAAAAAAAAGCGCGTTTTTTACATTTAGATCGGACCGGATCGACCGAAAAAAAAATGCCAATCATATCGAAGGTACAATTGAGCTTAGATCGGTTCGATCTCGTCAAATATGATTGGGGTTTAATTTGCAATATGAATTATAAACGAAGAATATATTGTAATGTGCTATGGTTACAAACTCTTTTAGGTGAAGTTCAAGTGAGGAGGAAGATAACACAATTTTACAAACGGTTTTAGTATGAAAATAAACACACAATATTTAAAACTCCGCATATATCATGTAGACTTGGTTCTACTGAAAGTTTATTTGGAGTTTGCTTACACTTTGGAATAGGAGAAGGAACAGTAGCCCTGTTCAATTCGGAAAAAAAAAGTAACAAATCAAATCATAGTTACAATTGAGCACAATTTGTACGGCTCGATAAACAATAAATATGGTTGGTTACTGGCACGCGTCCAGGGACGATGATCTCCGGCGGCGAAATTTCGCAAAATCTGCCGGCGTTTATTTTAAAATCTGCCCTGCTTTCTGCGGCTTATTGTCATCATTCTGCGGATATTTTATTATATTAATTATAATTTCTGCTCATTTCGGC